ATCAAACCCAAGACCTTCAGTCCACAGGCCAATGCTCTATCCACTGAGCCAAACTAGCTAGGACCAAAATAAAAAAAAAATTAAAAAAGAAAAGAAAAAAAGAAATGCTAATAAAAGTAAACTTGTCGATTAAATTTGCCAGGAAACTAAATCAATGTGCTGTGTGTGTGTTTTCTGAAATGAGAACATTTTAAAAGTATTAGACATTGTATTAATTTGTCTTATTATAATGGTGTAATATTTAGTCAAAGCAGGGCCTGTATGATAAAATAGCACAGATTCAAGGCCAGAGAAGCAAGACACTAGGGCCAACTGAATCAGATTAGGTAAAAACTAGCTACCTAACAATCCCACTGTTTCTTCCTCAGTTTACTTCTCTTTTTCTCTCATTCTCTTTGTTTCTTTGGCCCTCATTCCGCTGGTCTCACACCTGAACCAGTTTCTACTCTGTGACTTCTATCATCTTTGGAAATTACAATGGAAACATGGTTTGTTAGTGTTTTTTTCAACTGTGAACAGCCTCACCGTAAAACAGAAGTCCCCCAGTCCTGCCCCGGAGACCCTTGCAACAAGGGCTTTCTTAGTAATGCCTATCGGTGGGATGGCCACCAAAGTCCCTTTTGAGGTCCTAGTCTTCTCATTGTTGAGATTTGTCCTGGGTATGTTGGAATTGTTTTTTAAATGACAGCAATAAAAAGTGCTTTGTTTGAATTATTTCCACAGCTGGTATAAAGCTAATTATAGCATGGCTGAGAAGTTAGACTGGGGTCGAGGAATGGGCTGTGACTTTGTCAGGAAGAGCTGTAAATTCTGGATTGATCAGCAGAGAAAAAAGTAAGAATACATTTCCTCATAATGTTTGATAACAATTTATTTCTGATTTTGTTCTTTATCTGGAGCCTAAAGTGTTACTTTCAAAATATGGTCTGAATAGTTCATATTCAAAATGTGTAGAAAACCATTTATGGTGCTTGGTGATATAATAAATAGCTGCATATTGTTTTAAATCATATACTTAAAGAATCTACAATGTGGGAGCCAGACCATAAAATATTTCTGTTTAGCTTATAATTCATTAATATACACTGCAAAAAGTTTACATACTCTATATTTCTTACTGTTTTCTTCAGAAAATACACTCATAAACATAGATGTAACTGCTGATTCAATATTAAAAAAACATAAAGGTATTTTTCAATAGAGTTCTCAGATCTGGATGCATATTATAATCACCTAGCAAGCTTTTTTAAAAATACAGTCTCCAATTTTGGGAGATACACACAAATACACACATGTATGTTCATATTATATATATATATATATTTTAAGATAATTAGAGATTCATATGCAGACATTCCATGTACATTTTATCCAGTTGCCTTGATTGGTAACATTTTACAAAGCTATAGTACAACATCACAGCCAGGATATTGCCACTGATACAGTCAGATACAGAACATTTGGATCACTGCAAGGATCCTTCTTGTTTCCCTTTTATAGTCATACTCAGTACCCTCTCATGTCAACCCCGCCTTAACTCCTGGAATCACTAATCTGTTCTCCATTTCTCTAATTTTGTCCTTTCAAGAATATTATATAAATGGAATTATATTGTATATAATGAATACAGTATTCATTATATACTGTATTCATATTAATGAATGAAAAAAATCCTTTGACTCTTGTGTTTCTTTTACAATTTAACTAGATGTTTGTCAGTTTTACCAATTTTTAAAATATATATATATTTTATTGATTTTAGAGAGGAATGGAGAAGGAGAGCTAGAAACATCAATGATAATAGAGAATTATTGGCCCTGACCCTTTTGGCTCAGTGGCTAGAGCGTCGGGCCATGGACTGAAAGGTCCCAGGTTCGATTCTGATCAAGGGCAATGTACCTTGGTTGCAGGCTCGATCCCCAGTAGGGGGCGTGCGGGAGACAGCTGATTGATGTTTCTCTCTCATTGATGTTTCTAACTCTCTATCCCTCTCCCTTCCTTTCTGTAAAAAGTGAATAATAATATATTTTTAAAAAAGAAAATTATTAATCGGTTGCCTCCTGCACTGCAGGCCCCTGCAACCCAGGCATGTATCCTTGACCGGGATCGTACCAGGGACCCTTCAGTCCGCAGGCAGACATTCTATCCACTGAGCCAAACCAGCTAGGGCAGTTTTACCAATTTTTTTAAAAGAACGAACTTTTTGTTTTATTGATGTCTTCTGTTGTTTTTGTTTTCAAATCCATTGATTTCTGCTTTTATCTTATAGCTTTTCTTCTGCTTATTTTTTATTTCCATTCATGTCTTAGTCTGCTTGGGCTCCCATAACAAAATACAGAAAGTGTGGCTTAATCAGCAGAAATTTATTTTCTCATGGTGCTATAGGCTGAGAAATCTGAGACCAAAGTACCTGCCAATTTTGTTCATGGTGAGAGTTCTCTTTCTGGTTTGCAGACAGCTGCCTTCTCACTGTGCCCTCACATGGCAGAGAGAGTACACTCTGGTCTTTTCCTCTTCTTGTAAAGACACCAGACCTATCAAATTAGGACTCTACCCTTATGGCCTCCTAAAGACCGTTTCTCCAGTTATAGTCAGATTGGAGGTTAGGGCCTCTACACATGAATTTTGGAGGACTCAGTTTAATCTGTAGCAATTAGTGCAATTTAAAAAAAAGTTTCCATTGAGCACTGGCTTGTGTAGTTCAGTGGGTAGAGCGTTCGCCTGCACACTAAACTTTAGGGCATGTACCTGGGTTGCAGGTTCGATCCCTGACCCCAGTCAGGGCGTGTGTGGTAGGCAACTAATCAATGTCTCTCTTGCATCGATGTTTCTCTCTTTCTCTCTCTCTGTCTCTGTCTCCCTCCACCTACCCTTCCTGCCCCCCAATCTCCACCTATCTCCCCGCTTCTCTCCCTCTTTTCCACTCTCAATGGAAAAAGTATCCTTGGGAGAGGAGAGGATTAACAAATTAAATAATTAAACATTAAATAAATTACTTTCTTTCCAAGATTAGATTTAACAGAGAACAGAAAAAGTTGTAACAATTAGGAATATTGACACAATTTTCATTTTACGCAGAAAAACAAGATTGGATTGTGAATATTGTTTTTGTTTTTGTGTATATGTGTGTTCTTTTTTAAACCTCACCCAAGGAATGAGGATATTTTTTCCATTGAGTTTTTAGAGAGAGTGGAAGGGACCGGGGAGGGAGGAAGGGAGAGAGAAAGAGAAACATCCATGTGTTAGAGGCACATTGACTAGTTGCCTCCCAATAAGAGCCGGGATTGAACCTGCAACTGAGGTACGTGCCCTTGACTGGGAATTGAACCTGTGACCCTTCCGTCTGAGGGCCAGCCAGGGCGTGAATGTTTTTAATTCAACAAATTGTCAAATAGGATTCTTTGAACTACATTGTAGCATAGAAAATATTTAACTCTTTGTAGCTGCAGGACAAAGGGGAATCATCTCCATTTATTAATTATGAAGATGTGTATTTTTGACAAGTTCTGGAATTTCATTATTTGTCATATAAAATGCAAATCAGGTCTTTAAAATTCCATTTTACTGACAAAAATGGAGAGAGATAACTAGGATTTTATTTAATAACAGTGAAATAATGTTATAATGCATCTAGCTTTAATCTTTCACATTTACATTAAGCATTCCTTTTACCCTTTGAAAAATAAGTTTATAACTCGATTTAGCAATTAATTTTAAGCTATTAAAACATTGAAATTATAGTGGAAAAGATAAGCTTATAATGGGAAAGAATAGATGTGTACTGTTTTCTTTACAGTTTTATACTGTGGTGTTTATTTTTATGTGCAGGAGGCAGATGCTGAGCCCTTACTGTGACACCCTCAGAAGTAATCCCTTGCAGTTAACTTGCAGACAGGACCAGAGAGCAGTTGCAGTGTGTAATTTGCAGAAGTTTCCAAAACCTTTGCCTCAAGAATACCAGGTAACACTTGATTGGGGCCCAATTTTAAGAATCACCTTTTTAAAAATAAGTTTCTATTTTGAATTAGAAGAGTAAAGTCTCTTAACTGTTTCAATTTATAAGGCCTCATTTGTTTTCTCTAAGTCAGATAAAACTGAGGAATTCCTCCATTTATTTATAACTAATGTGATATAATAGATAGTGATTAATATCTAGCAATTCCTGTAGAAATAGTAAGAGGCATTTAGAATGTTTATTTTGCTCTAAATATTTCTAAACTGTATGTTTTTTTCTTTCTAGTTGTTTCCAAAGTCATCTTTAATTTCCTCTAATTTACACACCAAAAAACCCCCCAAGATTCTTTAAAGAAAATAACCCAGGTACTCTAAGCCAATTAATTAGAAGGCTTGGGAGTTCTGATTTAGAGGAGGTTTGACTCAAGGGATGTAAAAGGTGAAGAAAATGGCCCCACATGATGTTGTCTGAATCTCTGATTTGACTTTTAGGTGTTTCGTTGCCATGGCTATCTCTAAAAAGCCTGAACTCTGCCTGTCGTTTTCAAAGGACACGTTAGTCAGAAATTATATCACAAAAGCTAATTTTAAATTTTGAGCTTCCTACATAGGTTTATGATCTTTGTGAGCATTTCAGACACCATATGATGGTAACTATATTTCTTAGACGTCTTATATAATAAAAGGCTAATATGCAAATTTTCCCCTCAACTGGGAGTTGTACCAGGAGTTTGACCGGGTCGGGGCTGGCCCACCAGCTGCCTGCAGCCTCTCTCCCCAGCCAGCCCCGCTCCGCCCCCAATTGGCCACCCCCACCCCAATCAAGGCAGGCTGGCTGGACCCCACTTGTGCACGAATTTGTGCACTGGGCCACTAGTAGTATTATAATTCAATGAGTTGGTGTAAAATGTGAAATCTTTAAGATTTATCTGGTACCTTGTTCCTTTGGTGTTCAAAGTATTATATGTATATATGTGATCGCTTGCATTTTCTTACACTTTTATTTTTTCAAGAATGTCAAAACAGCGTATAAAGACATTTGAAGTACAGTATATTTAAAATTTTAATTCTATGCAGTTTTATGTATTTTGTCAACTCTTCAAAGTCTTCTGATTCATTCTTTAAAAACATAACAAATTTGTTATCTAATAAAAAACTTAACTAGTTTACTTACCTTACTGATTTTTAAAACTACAATAGCTTTGACATACCCCTGAGTAGTATGTTAATATTTTTGTGTTACACGGTACATCAAGCATGTCAAACTCACGGCCCACGGGCCGCATGTCTCATTTATTTGGCCTGTGTTAGCTTTTGAGTTTGACATGCTTGCTGTACATGAGGAAAACTACATTAATATCTTCTTTGTGTTATACAGCATTAGAGGGTTACTACAAATTGTCTGTGGACTTTGGTTATACAGAATATTTCTTTTTTTTTCCTGTCTTCCTAATACTTTTTTGTAGTACTTTGATGAACTCAGTGGAATACCTGCAGAAGATTTGCCTCATTATGGTGGTTCAGTAGAAATTGCTGACTACTGCCCTTTCAGTCAGGAATTCATTTGGCATGTAAGTGGTGAATATCAGCGCAGCTCAGATTGTAGAATATTGGAAAATCAACCAGGTTAGTAGTCTAGTGAAATGAAATGTTATATACATATTACTATTATATATCAGCAATATAAAATAGTGATTAAGAGCACAGACCCTGGAATTTCTATTGTGGTTCCACTGCTATCCATCTGTTGTAAATAATCTAACTTCTCTGTGCCTCAGCTTCTTCCTCTGTAGAAAGGGGATAATAGTATATATCTAATAGAGGTCTGGTGAAAATTAAATGAATTAATGTAGTAAGAGCTTAGAACCATCACACATAGAAAAGATTTTTAGCTATTAGATAGATTTGTGCATGTATACACACTGCTTTTTAGTAATATCTTACACCTGCCTGACACTTTCATTTGCAAAACTCTTTCATTTTTATATTTCATTTTATTCTTCTAAGAACCTGACGAGAGACATAGAGAAGATATTACTGAATTTCACAGATGAATAAAAAGACACTAAGAGCTCTCCTCCAATGGAGAGCTCTTTTTAGCTAATCACATTAGGTAACCTATTTTTTCAACTCCTGAGGAGTGTGCATTTTATGTAATTTAGAAGTAACATGCCATTCTTCAGATATCAGAATAGCATTATTATCCCATCACTAGTAAGATGTTGTAATACTATTTATTCTTTCTTAATACATATAAATGAACAGGTCTTCAAAGGGATAAATATATGGCAATTGGATATTCAACAATAATAGTTACAGCTCATACTATCCACCTCTATAAATAAAGTGTTCTCACATCTGATATGTTAATAAATAGCAATAAATAGTTTTTGTTTCTGTGGTCATCAAAAATTTTTTAAAAATATATTTTTATTGATTTCAGAGAGGAAAGGAGAGGAAGAGAGAGAGAGAGACAGAAACATCAGTGATGAGAGGGAATAATTGATTGGCTGCCTCCTGCACGTTGGACTGAGCCTGCAACCGAGGCATGTACCCTTGACCGGAATTGATCCTGGGACCCTTCAGTCTGCAGGCCAACGCTCTGTCCACTGAGCCAAACCGGTTAGGGCGTCATCAAAATTTTTAACCTTGTCCTTTCCCCCACTTCCCCTTTATTACATACTTTATTACAAACTAAGTCACTTAAATTTTAAATTTCCATAATGTTTTATTTTTAAACCTAGCAGATTTAACTGGGTTTGTAGTTATTTTTTTTTATCACTCACCTACTTAATAAATATTAAAGATTTATGATACAACTACTCAGCAGTTCCATATAAAACAAAAGAAATGCACAGATCTATCAGTCATGGGTTTGCTAAAAATACATTATCACATGTTATTGTTTTACAGATGGAGTTGGCAAACATTTATTGTAAAGAGCAAAATAGTAAATATTTTAGGTTTTGTGGGTCATAGTCTCAGTTGCAGCTGCTCAACACTGCTGTTGTAGTGTGAAAGCAGTCATAAACAATCTATAAATGAATGAGTGTGGATGTGTTGGCTAAAACTTTATTTATAAAAACAGGTAACCCTCAGGATTTGGCCTGAGAATTGTAGCTTGCTGATGCTCCTTTTTTTTTTTTTTTTTTAACCATTGGTCACTGTGTTTTTTGAAGACTTTGAAATACTCTGAAAATAAAATAAATATAGAGTTCTAGTTTACATTTTCTTTCTTCGTTTATATAATTAAGATTTTTCAAAGTTGACATAAAATAAAATACTTATTTTTTTTAAAAATTTTTACTGATTGATTTTAGAGAGAAAAAGAGAAACATCAATTGGTTATTCCACGTATGCATTCACCGGTTGATTCTTGTATGTACCTTGATGGGGGATCGAACTTACAACATTAACGTATCAGGACAACACTCTAACAGAGCTACCCCCGAGCCAGGGCAATACTCACCTTTTTATCATATATTAGAGGCCTGGTGCATGAAATTCATGCACCTCTCGCAATCCAGGACCATTTGTGGGGATGACTGACTGCTGGTTTAGAAAGAAACCTTGTGAGAGAAAAAACAAAACAAAACAAAACAGAGGCCACTCCAGTGAGGGTGGGTTCTGAGGAGCTAGGGATAACTTTCTGTGTGAATATTTGCCAGGCCAGGGAAGAGGGGAGGAAGAGTGTGTGTGTGTGTGTGTGTGTGTGTGTGTGTGTGAGAGAGAGAGAGAGAGAGAGAGAGA